TCCCTCCTCCCTCCTCCTCCTCTCCTCCTCCTCCTCCTCCTCCTCCTCCCCTCCCCCTCCTCTCCTCCTCTAAAAAAACGCAGCGTATGTCTGTCCAGGGCTCCGTGGACGTGGGGTCCAGGCGTGGGCCTGCCCAGGGCCTGGCGAGGAGCCCCTCCCCGCGCCCCCGAGGCCTCTGGCCTCCCCTCCTCCTCCTCCTCCTCCTCCTCCCTCCTCCTCCTCCTCCCTCCTCTCCTCCTCTCCTCCTCCTCCTCCTCTGCCCCCTCCTCCTCTGCCCCTCCTCCTCCTCCTCCTCCTCCTCCTCCTCCTCCTCCTCCTCCTCCTCCTCCTCCTCCTCCTCCCCCTGCTAGTTAGCCCGGGTGGGGTCCGAGCAGATGGGGTCGAAGGCTCTTTCCACATCGCCGACGCCTCGGTGATGCGTCGATGCGTCGGCGATGCGTCGATGCGTCGACGACGCGGCACGGTTCTCCGTCACCATCTACTCGGGGCCCGCCTTCGAGCAGTGGCGGAGCGTCCCTGAGATGCTCCGTGGTTTGCGCGCGGTGTTCTGATATCATTTCTGGCTGATGCTGTCTTGTTTCAATACATCGGCATTCTGCTCTAAGAACATTGTGTTGTTATTCGAGCATGCTTTTGCTCTAAGAACATCCCGTGGTAGGCCTATACAGGAATGCCAGGACGGCCGGTCCCTGCTCAAAATTTGGGAGGCCTGGTACACTCGCACCCCGCTCCCCCGGGTGCGCCAAAGAGGACGAGGTCGGCTCCTACTTCCCTGCGGCCCGCGGCGACGAGGAGGACGGGCCCCGGGGGGAAAGGGAGGGGGGACAGCCACCTCCTACTCCCGCTCCTCCTCGTTTCTCGGAGGGGGGCCCGTCGACTTGTGCCCCTCCTGGAGGCTTCTCGTCGCCACGGCTTCTCGCCAGGCCGGACTCTCTTCTCGAGCTGGCACGTCTTGCGTATGATCTCTCGTGCGCGCTTGGGCGAATCAGGCATCACAGGTACATCATGTACTGAGCTCTCGGCGCTCCGGCGCCCCCCGCCGGGCTCTTGTAGGGTCGTCCTAAAACGACGCGAAGATCGGGACAAATCGGATCGGGATAACTCGAAATCTCTGAGAATCGGCGGGTTTGGAGGATGTATTGGGCGCCGCGGCCGCTCCAGAGCGTTCCGGAACGCTCTGAGAGCGCTCCAGAACGCTCTGGAGTGATTTATCCCGATCCTAGCCCTGTTTTACGTCCTCCGGGACGACCGACTTGCGCCTCGCCTCGCCTCGCCACGAAGAAAAGCAGTCAGGATGAAGGGGCTCCGATCTTGAGCGGACCTGGGCCTGGCGGTCGAGCCGCCGTGGTCTCAACTGGCCCTCCTCCGCGCCCTCCCCCCCAGATCTCCGCTTATGTCGGGCCTGTCCCCTTACAGGGGGATTTTCGACGAACAAAAAAAAACATACCCCCAAAAATAGTCAAAAAAAATTGTCCAAACATAGTCCAGGGGCTATTTTTCGAGTATTTTTTGGGTATTTTTAATCTTTCGTCGAAAATCCCCCTGTGGGGGGACACGCAGGCTGAGGCTGAGGCTGAGGCTGTGGCTGAGGCTGAGGCAAGCTGCGGCTGAGGCAGGCTGAGGCTGAGGCTGATGCAGGCTGAGGCTGAGGCAGGCTGAGGCTGAGGCAGGCTGAGGCTGACAGATATGCTCATACACATCGCTGTCAGGTTGCTTTGCCGGGATAATTTTTATTTTTCGTCGAAAATCCCCCTGTGGGGGGACAGGCCCGACACAGAGCTCCGCGCGCCGTGCACAACACATCGGCGGAGGGCGGTGCCGGCAGCCGTCGGCTTCCGGGGGGCCCCGGCCATGCCCCTGCGGCGGCCACAGGACGGCGCAGGCCGGGAGGGCCAGTCCCGACGAAGGTTAAGTCGGGCGTGTCCCCCTACAGGGGGAATCTGGACGAAAAGTTAAAAATATACCCCCAAATACCCCCCAAAAGGTAAAACAATAGTCAAAACATAGTCCCCAGACTATTTCTGGATTGTTTTTTGCTTATTTTTGGGGTATGTTTTATTCTTCGTCGAAAATTCCCCTGTAGGGGGACAGGCCCGACTCAACTCCAGGGGTTCACGTTGTGAACGAATCATGGCGTCGGGGGGATCGAGATCTCACGCTCTAGAACGCTTTTGGCATTCCGTTGGACCTTCGACGGACCCTTCGAGACCTCCGGACCCCTCAGAAGAACCCCGGAGGCTGTCGTCGACGCAGTCGTCTTCCATCCCCTTCCCTCACGGATAACTCCCGCCTTTCGCCCCCCCAGACGTGTCGATAGGGCGGGCCAGGCGTCTCTGAAGATGCTGCAGCCTGAGCTCCTGCAGCCTGAGCTCTGCAGCAGGCTGAAGATCCTGAGTCTCCTCCTCGTCACTGAAGATCCTGCAGCCTGAGCTCTGCAGCAGTCTCACGCACGGAGGGCGGGCCGTTCGCAGAACGCGACCCGCTCTTTTTATGGCGCCGCGCGCACGGGTTGTTCGTTCTCGCAGCAGCTCCACGGACGGAGGGCGTTTTTTTTTGTTATTATTTTCAACACGTGGCTTTCGCCTTGGCGCCGCGCGCATGGGGGGCGGCTCCCTTTTCAATCGGTGGTTCTCGCCTCAGCGCCGAGCAGGCTCGTCGCAGCGGCTTACGCCAGTTTTCACGGGTTCGTGTGGCCGAGTTCCCAGGGAGGGCTTTCTGGCACGGTTTAGGATGGCCAAGTCGCGGCAGCCATATTGATTCGCTGTGTTGACGTCCCAGGAATGGTGTTCAGACGCGATTGAGAACTGCCAGGACGCAATAGCCACGCTGATCCGTGGCCTTGAGTAGCAGGAAATACGTTCTGGCACGATTGAGGCACCTCAGACGATTGCCTTCTATTCGGCCACTCCCCGCAATGAACATCAATTCTTTCAGAGTCCTTTGAAGATGGAGCTTAGATGGAGGGTTTATTGCAACATCGTTGATACATCTTGGTTTTGCACTGATACTCCTCCTCCTTCTCATCCTCCTCCTTCTCCTCCTCTCCCCTTTCCTACCAAGACCTCTGAGCGCCGCGAACAAAAATCGCGACGTGCCTTTGTTGGCGATCTCGGGGCTCAGAGGTGGTCTTCGGGCCAGGCCTCGGGGGAGCATCGAGAAGAATTCGCTCCACAGCCAGCAAGATCGCAAACAAAAACAGTCCCGAGGGTGTGGTCGAGAGCTCCTGGTGTCCACCTCGCGAGACAAACAACCCTTCCCACCTCCCCCTACCCCTTTCTTACGGCACTGACATGAAAAACAACCTATCTTACACTGCGCTGGACGCCCAGAGGGTGGGCGAGCACTCCGCAGCCCTGCTGGGCGGGGGGGGGGCCGTTAGGCCGATTCACGCCAGAAGGTGCTGGCCCATGTCCGCCACTCTGCGGCAGCTGGCCCGGCCGCAGCTTGTCGGCCCTCCGCCTCCGCGCCCCCCGCCACCCCCCCCCGCCAGTGGTGCTTGCTGATTGGCTGGCTGGCTGGTTTAGGTAGACTGGTTGGCTGGCCGGTTGGATGGTTGGCTGCTCGGTTGGTCGGTGCACCATGGTGAAGTGCCAGCGGAGGCTAGGAGACCAAGGAGGACGAGGAGGAGGAGGAGGAATAGGAGGAGGAGGAGGAGGAGGAGGAGGAGGAGGAGGAGGATGATGATGATGATGATGCTGATGATGCTGATGATCATGATCATGATGATGAAGAGGAGGAGTCTAATAACACTAGGAATAACAATAATAATCATAATAATACTAATAGTAATAATAATCGTACGACTGATCAGATGAATACTAAGAGTAATAATAATAAGAAGAAGAAGAACAAATGATACTACTAGCAACAATAATAATGCGACTGAGAATAGTACTACTAATAATAAGAATGATACTACTAATACGACGAATAATAAGAGCAATAAGACGAAGACGAATCATAACACTACTAAGACGAATGATAATAATACGAATGCTAATACTAAGAAGAAGACGAATAATAAGAAGAAGAAGAAGGAGGAGGAGGAGGAGGAGGAGGAGGAGGAGGGGGAGGGGGAGGAGGAGGAGGAGGAGAAAAAGGAGGAGGAGGAGAAAAAGGAGAGGAGAGGAGAGGAGGAGGGGGAGGAGGAGGAGGAGGAGGAGGAGGAGGAGGAGGAGGGCAATGGCCAAGGCCCAAGAGGTCGGGGAGTGGAGCAGACCAGGGGAGCGCAGGGGGGATGGGGACAGAGCCAGGGGGAGGGGAGGTGTTCAGGAGCGGAGAGCCAGGGGAGGGTCAGGAGAGGGTCAGGTGACGGGATGCAAGCAGGGAGCTACGGGCAGCCGAAGGGAAGGCACAAGGGGGGTCGGGGGGACTGGGGGAGGGGAAGGTGACCACGGGAGGGCAGGGGACAAGAGGGGAGGGGTTGGTGACCAAAGGAACCTGGCCCTAGGAGCGCGCATCCAGTTTATCTGTCGAAGGCTCGTTAACGTTCCT